CATACTTTAGTGTTTTTTCGTGAATATTTTTCAACCACCTTACCTGCAGTATATTTTTTCACATATTTGAGGGTATGGCTCAATCAGGTTCTGACTCACTGAGGTTTTTATTCATAATTTTTAAGATACAGCAGTTCCAGCTTCAGCAAACTGCCACAGATTGGAATCAGCCCTGTACTTTGACTAGGCCATTCAATCACATCAATATACCTCAACCTAAGCCATTCCGTTGTAGCTCTAGCTGTACATTTAGGGTCAACTTCCCATTGGAAAGTAAACTGCTCTAACTGGCTATCTTTCAGTACTCCAGTTCGCTTTGTTCATCTTTTCTTAAACTATTAGTTATAATTTCCCTACTGAAGAACAGAACTCCCACAGTATAGGATGCTGTCTCAACATGTTTCCTGCAGGCGATGGTTTGCCCGTGGTGGGATTCGTTGTTAGCTTTCTGACACACACAGGGTTATGAATAAAAGTCATAAAGTTAACTTTTGGTCTCAGCTTACCAGAGACTTTCTTTCACTTGTTTGTTGTCTTCTTTAAGTGGTTTGTGATTTAATACAAACAAGACTTCTACTTTTTTCAGCAACATCTTTCTTCTTACCACTTTTAAGATGTGTGGGATGCAAAACTAAGAGTTATCCAGTTGACAGATTCTCTTACAATAATTAAGAGTTTCTGCACATTTTCCTGAGTTAACAGGCTTCATAGCTGCTTTTTAATGGCCTGTTTTGGAGGATGACCAGCGCTTTCTAAAGAGTGCCTTTGCAGAGAGAAGTGCCATGCTCTTTTCCTTGTTGGATGATGGACTACTCCACAAGGCTTTGATGTGGTCTCCATGCTGCTTTTTGCACTATAATGTTCTCTGACAAACCTCTAGGGCCATAACAGAGCAACTCATTAAATACATTACTCTCAGGTGCACTCAGTTGTTTAATTTGGTGTACTCAGAAAGACTGGTAGAATGTGATTTTATTATTTCTGTTTCTTTGGAGCATCAGAGTTCTGGAGAATGGATAAAAAATTTTATTTTTTTATATTCCTAAAAAGATTTCCGCAATGGTTCCTTCTATCCCACAGAAATGCACAGTATGGGAACAAGATGACAGACGTATTATGCACTGTGTATACATGCCAGCTCTTTGTGACTGATATGACCATCAAGGTTTGCACTAGTGTGCCAACTCATAAAGAAAGTGAGAAAAAAAGCAGAAGGCATACAAATCAGTTTCTCATCCAATGCTTAAAGGAGAGGCTTTCAAGCATTGTGATCCAAATCTCCTGTTACCTATGCAAGGGAAGGAATCTACAAACCAAAAAGGACACAAATGAGACAAGTCCAAGGAAAAAAGTGTTGCGCGCAGATATTGATGAGAATCTGCATGTAAAACAGAATAGAATACATATGAAGCCACTACCGGTAATAGAAATGTGTAGACAGATCAAACAATCGTCTCATCCAGCATCCTGATGCCAGGTACAGAAGGAAGATTCCAGTAATGTCCTTTGTAAAACCCACCCTTATATCTCATGAGCAGAACAGTAAACAGTGACTAATAGATGATAGCTGAGGCCAAATTTGTTGCTGTGAGGAGCTTCCAAAAAAATCTATTTTCTTCCATAAACATTTTTTTTGGAGAGTTGGTTTTATTCTTCTTGGACAAATTTCTCTCCTGGCTCAAAATCAACTGGAAAGGTCCTCTGGAATGAAATAAATAAAGAAATAAATAAAAAATACTATAGCTCCCGGGGTTTGGCACACACTCTTAGCAATCTCTGCCATTTTGTTTGCTGTGTTGCCATGAGGACGTGAATGCCTTTGTGGCAATACTTTTTTCAACCATCTGTTCCTGGAAATCCTGATTTTTTTTTATTTAGTTTAATTTGAGAGTGAGGTATTTAAATTCACAAATTCACCTTACTTGTGAATGCTCCACCTGCTATTATGTTGAGTGAATGCAGTGCCTAAAGTACGAGCTCTGCATGTGGAATCATGTCCCTTTGTTCATGTTTATATCCTGTTGTGATGGAAAGAAGCTTATTTTTCTAAATGCTCTTGAAATGAGAATAATTATGTTGTTTTGGGGATGGAGGGGAGGAAGAAAGAAAACAAGACTTTATTGTCTTCCACAGCACAATGACTCAATGTCACTCATGAAACCCACTGAGCTGTCAGATTCACAGTGAGGATAACATTTACTCTGAAAATAAGCACGAACAAACAGAGTTGGGAAAATAGGCGTGAAAAAAGTCATAGAGATGCGAAAAAAAAGAATCAAAACGTGGGAAAACTGAGAAATACGACACAGCATTTCACATATTTATCTGCATTTTGTGTTAGATGAAGGGGGAAAACATAAAAAATAAAAGAAAAAAAAGGTAAAGGAGAGTTGAAGTAACTTTGGAGTGAAAAAAACAAAAAACAAAAAAAACAACATGTTTTTAAATGCAAACAGAGGCTCGTGCTGAGAAAGTAATGTCCCATTTTTCTCTAGCTGTTTAGTGAATGTGATGTCTTAGCTCTGAGCAGAGTTGAAAAGTGAGCACAATGGAAAGATTTCAGAGTGAATTTCAGCATAAGCTGAATAGATACACCTAAAATCCAGAGGTATCCTATCCACTTCTGTGATATGCACAGTGCCTTGCAGAAATATGAACTTAGGCATGCTATAAACACCAATTCAGGTAGTTTTTGGGATTGCGAATGATAGAGCAACACAAATGGATAAATAACTATAATAGGCTACAAAAAGTGTGGTACAAATTGTCCTTAGTTTGTTTTACTCTGCTACTCTTAGATAAAATCCAGTCCAACAAATGCCTTCCGAAGTCAATTTATCGTTAAAAAGAGTGCAGCTGTATTTGATTTATCCCTTTATAGGGCAGTCTGTGAAATACTTAGGAAACCAACATTTCCAGCCAATAGTGTTGTTGGAATCCAGGACAAGATCTTATTACCTTTGTAACATTAAAAAAATATGGATATTTTGATGGCAAAAATTTATGTCAGTATAAAAACAAGAAATTGCAAGAATATATTAGGAAAAATAACAAAAGTGCTTCTATAAGAAATTCCTGGAAAAACACTCCAACATAACCTTAGAGGGATTAATGCTGATACTGGCACTAACATTTTTTAGTTTATAAATCTAAATAATATTGTTAACTATGCTAATTAACTTTTTAACTTTTCAATTAGCTTTTTACCTTTTTTTCTTGACTAAACTTTTTTTTCCAACTGAATTTACAGTACACTGGAAAAAATCCTAAATTTAGATAAGTCATTTTGTTTTCTTTAAATAAGTGCATTTGTTCTTGAATTAAGGAAATAAAAGAGATTTGCCAATGGAACAACATCATTTAGATTTAAAAATAAGAAAAAAAACTATTTGATTGTCTTATTTCAAGAGCAAATTATCTAATTATCTTATTTTACCATGCATTTGTAAGAGATATAAAGGTGATCAAAAACAGTAACTTCCCCTATAAAGGGCTAATTTCAGTATAACTTTATACAATTCTGTGAAGGCCTCAGAAGCTTAATAGAGAACACAAGTGAACAAACAGCATCATAAAGGTCAAGAAACACAGCAGAAACAGTTTGGCAAAACTTGTGGAGACGTTTATATCAGGAAAAGGTTTAACATGATGCCAAGAGCTCACTGAGCTGTCTTCAATCCATCAACTGAAAATGGAAACGAATCAAGCTTGTTGGGGGGGTGGAAGGGGATTTTAATTAGGGTAGCAGCCAGGAGGTGTCCATGGCAACTCTATCCACATTTAGGTGGGATAAAATTAGCCAATAGCCATTTAGCACTTGGCCAATAATTGGGATGGGAGTTGGGATGAATGTTATGGGTCTGAGTTATTGGAAACAACATGCAGCAACTGCAAAACTCAGGCAGATCAAGTCAGACAATGACACTTACTGTACAAACAGAGCCACAATATAAAAGGTTATGCCGAGACCCGAAATGCAACACAAAATCTGTGAAAAGACAAAACAATAAAAATTCTGCTCTATCATATGTGATAGATACCTGCAGTTATTGAACCTGTGAAAGGTAATTCTACAGAATGTAGAAATCTCAACTGGGGATGATTAAATGTATTTTTTGGTTACCAGCACGTTTAAGAATTTTTGTATGATATAAAAACATTTTGTAACTTAAGAAGTAGGCCTACAAGACAAGCACAATTTTTTTTTATTAAAATGAAAAAATGTTAGATGTTTTGAGAGTATTTTTTGCCTTATTCTAGAATACTCGAAATCTAACATTTGTTTGGACAGAGAGATAATTTAAAAAATCAAAATAAATAAATTCATCGCACATTTTTATTTCAAAATCGGAATGTTAGGGTTTTGAAATGCCAACGGCGAATGATTTCCTGGAATGATAAACCAAAAAAAGGAGCTACACTTCTAGCTCGCTGCCAGTAGGGGGAGCGCCGACCTCCCCAGACAACAAAGAAATGTCTGAGGTTCACCATGCTGAAGGGGTTAGAAGCTGAAGTTTGGAGCCTTCTTTATCAATTTATTTGAGTAAAGATAATTAGAATTCATGTGAACATTTCCACGCTGCTACATTTTAACTTGAACAGTTATTTTCCATTTCTTTATAATTTCTAGATGGTTCAAAGATGAAATCCTGCTGTTGGGGCTATGTGCTGATTTTAATGCCTCATTAAAAGGATTTTTGGTTTTTTACCTGAACTCTTTTGGTGCTGATAAATACCCAACGCACGTAGCCTTTGATAGCAGAGGAACGCAATAAATCATTCATCAAGGTCACATTAAAACAGCAAGCGCACTTTGAAATATTTAATCATTTTAGTTGGTAAATCTGCATTTCACACGAGGCTCTTTTTTTGATAATGATGGACACTGAAAACAAATGATTTAATTGACCTCTAATTTAAATTCAACACAGCAGAAGGTTGCTGCTGCTCAGAAAAAAAACGGGGTACTAGTCAACATTTGCGCTCTTAAAACCAAAGTTTGATATATTTATCTTAACTAACTGCAGCAACCTTGGTTTAATAAGACTGAAGCTTTAAACAAAGCCCAGTGGAGCCTTTTTTCTGTCACTCTATCCTTATGTGGTTGAATGGTGCCTGACCCACAGGAATCTCCTCAGCACAACAGAAAAGCCTCCGAGTGGGAAGGGAAACCAGAGCAGCTCTGAGCGCAAAGACGCGCGGCGCCTCATCCAACCAGCGCCAGCCCCAACAGAAGGACTTTAAACTGTAAAAGTGCAAGAGAACGACCCGTCCACAGGTCCGACCTGAAGTGGAGACATTACTCGGACATCCGAACGCGGATGAACGCGGAGAGAAGTTATCTGCGCGTTGGAGAGGAGTCCGCCTGCGCACGGGCGCAAAGCAAACCCATGTGGTGTTAAGAAGATCACCGGCGAGGATGTCTGCGGATCACCTGAAGTTTCATTCACTCTTCGTGGAGCAACCCCGAACTGTTTCACTTGTGTGATTTTGCCGTGGATCGAGAGCTCTACCTCCGTGGGGTTTGCTGAAGAAGTTGGTTCGGGCTGATTTTGAATGAAACGGACTTTGATCCCACTCTGACTGGATTAGGCACCAGCTTCCAGCTGCTACTAGAGATGCCTGCTTGTTTCACGGGGATTTACTTTCTGTTGACTCTGCTGTGGATTTGTTCAGGTATGAGTTGGTTGTTCTACATCATGTAGTCTACTTTTTAATTATGTTTTGTGAATAGAAAGTTTCCAGATGTTATGCGGCTGAGCAGCAGGATCTTGTAGTTGGGAGCAGTGACCCTGACCTATGCTGATCGCTCCCCAGATACTGAGACTCATCTAGCAGTTAGTCATGCCTCTACTGTCACCTCATAAATACTTTGAAAGCCAGTTTTTATTATATTTTTGCATAAAAAGTTATTACTGTATATATATAAAAAAAGAAGAAATAGACTGCAAGAGTTTCATGCCAGGATATATATATATTTTTTTTTATCTTTTTAAAGCCATTCAGAAAAATAAAGTTGTTTCCAAACAGATGTGTACCTTTATATACAAAGGGAATTTATTTGAAAAATCAGTTGCACCTCACATTCACTCCCAGTAGCACTATTCTTTTCTCTCTCAGACACAAAGGCAGTAATGTCAGTAATACTGGCAACAGATGCAACCAGAAAGGAAGAGAAAATCATCTTTAGGTTCACATAATGGAATATTACTATTATGATGCATTTACTTTTTTTAAATGGACAGAGAAGCATCAATCCCTAAAGACTAGTAAAAAAAATTTACTTTCTTGAGGTACCCTACGCATCTTATATGAGAGATCATTAGAAGTCTGATTCTTTAATTTGTTAAACTAATTATATTTGTATCAAAATAAGTAGTTTAAAGGAAAATGTTTTAATTTACTCTCAATTTAAATAATCAATTCATTCTCTTTAACTATAGAGGCTTCAATAAAACTATCTGAGGAGACAACTCATTAATTAGCACAGTTACGGTAGTTTGAAATGCTACTAGCTATATTTCTATAAAAAGTCTGTTTTCTAGTTGGACATTTCCTCAGAACGATACAGACAGGTACAACAGAACACCTGTGCTGTGATGTGTTCAACTTCCGGCTGTTTTCAAACGCCCTGTTGCAGCAGCCTGAATCCACTGCCAATAAGCCTGTCTGAAAAATACAATTTCTTTACCCTTTTCTGCCTTTTTCAGTTGGCTTTATTAGACATCTCAGTATTTTTCATCCAATAACTTCCTTATCATATAAGGCTGCACTGATTAAAAATATTATTAGATCTTAGATTTTCAGGAATGGTGACTCTTTAAATCATCAGTCATTATTTCATATTCAGTATCTCAAAATAACATTTATCATAACCAGTTCAAACAGAAAAGGTATGATACGTTTTTTTTTTATGCCGGGTGTCTGATGTCAACATCATTTTACTGTCTTCATGTGCCCACAATCTTTCAATCTGCTCAGTTCAGTTAAAAAAATCTTAATTTGTTCCAATGGAAGGAATAATATAGTTTTAGCTCAAATTATGTAAATTTGTATACAAACAGTTGTAGATGCAGATGTTTATGCGCAGAAGGGAAATCTTGTAGTGGTCTGTCTTTTGGTGAACTGAAGAAGCCTCTGACCAAAGACATGTTATTTTATGACAAATCTTATGAAGATGTTCATGATATCTTTGAACTTAATGTTCTAGAAGAGTCTCAGGAACAGAGCAAGCAACCTTTGTTTTTAAGTGTGTTACAGTAAGTCAGCTGTTCTTTGGTGGCTTAAGGTTATTTTCTGCAGACATACAGACCTTACAAAGCCCTCTTCTTACATAGTTATTGGTTTAGCGTTCAGTCATACCTTATTTAAACAAATCTAACGAAAAAAACAAAACAAAGAGCAACTTTTGACATCTTATTTATGAATGATAAACCAACCATCCATCCATTTTCCATCACCCTTATCCCTGCTGGGTTCGTTAATGGACAAGAGGCGGAGTACACCCTGGACAGGTTGCCAGTCCATCACAGAGCAACACAGAGACACACACTCACACCTAAGGAGAATTTAGAGAAGCCAATTAACCTAACAATCATGTTTTTGGACTTTGGGAGGAAGCCAAAGTACCCAGAGAGAACCCAGGCATGCACATGGAGAACATGCAAACTCCATGCAGAAATACCCCAGGCCGGCAATTGAACCAGTAACCTTCTTGCTGCAAGGCAGCAGCGCTACCCACTGCTGTCCACTATGCAGCTCTGATTTAATGAATAATAATTAAAGAAAAAAAAATCAAGCAGATTGTTGAACGTTTAGAGGCTCTGTTGGTTATTAGGAATAATCTTTTAGCTAGATAAATTATGCCTTGCTTCAATTTATAAACATATATACACTAACTGTCTAATATGAGAAGGTTCTTAAGTACATTGCTCAATGCACAGTCTTAACTTTTGTGTTAGCTCCCATCTATTCTCTACAAGCTGCAAAATGAGAATTTATGAGAAATTGCAGTTCTGTTAGTACTTAAATATAATAATCATCTACTTTTGAATTGCTGTAAAGATCTAAAAAGAAGACAAAAACTTAAGCCATGTAAAATGTGAATAGTTTGGTTTTGAGGTGTGGTGATAGCTAAAAAAAATCCTCAGGTTATATGAAAAATTCTTATTCTTTTTAGATAATTAGCTTAGAAAATGTAAATAGATGTGTTAGAATCATAGATGTCTTTGCACCACATCTTCTCAATCATTTCCTATTAAATAAACAGAGGATTGTTGTACTAATTGTACTATCAAAGCTAATTCATAATCTAATTAAATTAGCATTAAGTAGTCAAGGTTCTCTGAGGATAATTTTGCTTCTCATTCACGTATTAACAGTGGAGGAGGAGGTACCAAAGGGATTCAGAGACCAGCAGAGCACAGACTAATTCCATCAGTGCTGTGTTGGTGACCTCCCCATGGGGATACACTTTGGCTGAAACATGTTTCTTTTCTGCTAGTGTAAGATGTGCATAGGTCAAGGTTCACCTGTATCCACTCATGTTGTTGTGGTGATGAGCGTTCACTCCTGCAAGGCTGCTGTGACTCAAAAATGTGCTGTTGTAACGATGCACAATACTGACCTCCTGCTACAGTGGGCTGATTGGAAGAAGCTGACCTGTTGTGTCAAACTCTGGGTTTAACAAGGCACTCTGTGGCCTGGGTGATGGTGACAACGATGAGCTAGATACCACTCTTAATGAGGAGATAGCTGACAGGTCATTTTTGTGCAACACTTTCTTTTATGTTTGGATGAATTTGTCGAAATTCTTTTCATTCTTCACCAGAAAGAGTGCAGTTAATAAGCTTCTGGAGATCAGCTCATTTGGAAAGCATCTTAACAACTGTGGATATGTTTTTCATATTGGATATTTTACATTCCACTATTGGTGTGCAAACTGTGGAATGAATTCACGGCTGTTTTTTTTTCAGTATACAGCAACCTTAAGGATTTTCTAGTAGGGGTGTCCCAGTGCAACATTATCATTTGATTTGCAGTTTGGAGAATTGATTGATTCTGATATGGATCCGATACTATGTCAGCATGAATCTTACATGCTTTTATTACTTATTTTTTACTGTAGCATGTTAGAAAAACTTAATGAATTGGTATTACTAAAACGGAGAGCAAAATATAAATATAAGTGGTATTAGAACAAATGATCGTAACGTAAAATAAATCTAAGTGAAAAAAAAGCAACAATATCTGTTACACTTACTTTGTACTCACAGTTTATTTAGCTATAGGATGGTACTTCATCTGCTCAATAATATTCGGGCATAAAAATATATAAAAATATTTGGCAATTTGTCATTGTACAGTGCCTATAGATTGTCCAGAGCCCTGATTTATTTCTTTTACACTCTTCTCTTTTTGCTAAATCCATAGTTGTTTACCTGTTTTAGATTTGGAGAATGGAATGGCCATAGTCAAAGTTTTTTTTAGTTTCTGCTTAAGTATCTCCCTGTTGATCTTACAATCAGTGTTTGGCCATTAATTATCCTGATGGAATATCGTTTGTCTTCCAGAGTTCAGCTTATTTTAAGGCCAATTGCCAGCAAAGTTTAGCCAACTTTACCTGCTTGTGTTTGTGATGGGAGTTTAAAATAACCCCTCATTTAATACATTCAGTGTTAAATCTAGGGATTTATATTTTCTCCACTGATTTAGAAAAAAAAATACCCTTCCCCTGTTATTCAAAAGATTAGTAATATCAGTCTTTGAAAAAACAAGCTAATGCTAACTGGGCACTGTTTAATAAAATTGTTTGCTTAAAAGGATGTTCCCAACGGGAACAGTTGACGCAGAAGAAGCCAACACTGCATCTCATCCACCCAAGCCCCTGCAGATGTTGCTAAAACCGCTTGGTTCTGTTGATGTGTGCATGAATGCATGTGTAATGGTGTTAGTGTAAGCTCGTTTTTTTAAATGAGTGTGTTCAGATCTTCTGCCAAAAGCTGTGTTTCATGAATTGCTCCCCTTGTTTACTTGCTGGTTTCCTCTGGAGCTGTGAGTGTGGTTGCTAACCTAGGGAGAATTAAGTTACTGGGAGCTCTGACAAGTGCCTGTGGGCCTCAAGTTCACAGGTCATCACATCTTCCCAGACACACAAGCACACATATGCACAGACACGCAGACACATACAAAGCCAAAGCGCCATTTACACGCCTCAGTCTTCATTCTGAGAGGGATCGATTGGCATCTGCTAGCTCGACAAAGGTAGCAGATTCCTTGCCTGAAGGAGACTCACTACTTCTCCTCTGCCTTTCCTAGCTTAGTTCACTTGTTCGAATTTCGATTAAGTATTTGGAACTCTTTGGATCTCCGTAATTAATGCTTCTCATACCTGACCAATCATTTTAGGTGGCCAGCCTTGGTTTATAGTTAAGCCACTCTCTCTTCATTTTTAAAAGAAAACAAAAAAACAATAATGGGACCTCTAATGGCACTGAATTGTACATATTTTATCAGAGTAAAGGTATTTTACAATATATGCATATCCTCGGTTTTTACATCTTTATTCTTTTTAAACATTTAAAACTGATATGGCTTCAGTCCATAAAATACACATGTGTACTTTAAATGGGATTATGTCTGCAGAGTTGTGTTTAGCTACATCTCTTTTTTTCGCA